GAAATGAATTATACCAATATTGAGCCTGAGGCTCTCGCTATTATGTTCGCTATAAAGAGGTTCCAGGAATACTTAATAGGCACGAAATTTACAATTATTACTGACCATAAACCTCTTGTTCACATCCTTACCAAGGGTCTTAAGGATAATAGTACCATGTCCTTAAGACTCCAGAAATGAAATATAACATTAGAAGGATATGATTTTAACATAAAGAATAAAGTCGGTAAATATAATGTTGTTTCTGATTGTCTCTCGAGATTGCCACAATAAATGACTATAGGGATTTATCTATCAATTTTAATCAAATTCATGATGAAACTTTTAAAGATATCGAATTAAAACAAGTCATAAATGATATTAAGAACAACAGGCCTATAAAGAACAATTAAAAACATTGAATTGGAATTAAGTATAATTAAGGATTGTTTTTACAAAAGCAACTTGATTCCGTCTTCTATGAGAAAAAATGTACTACAGTCATTACATGAAGGTCACTTGGGAGCAGGAAAAATCAAATCCTTAGCCAAATATTACATGTGGTGGTCTGGTATAAATAATGACATAGAAATGGAAGTGAAGTATCATATACCATGATAATCCTAAAAAGATACAAAAACCATGGGTTTCGGCAACCAAACCGTTTGAAAGGATTTACATAGATTATGCGGGTCCGTTCTTCACAAGAAAATGGTTGATAATAGTCGATGCCTACAGCAAATTTCCAATTATTATTCCTGTTAAAAATATTACGACTCATGTTACTTTAAAAGAAATTTTTAAAACTATTTCGCTATATGGAATACCTGAAACTATAGTTACGGATAACAGCACTAACTTTACAAGTAACGATTTTGAAAAATTTTGCAATAATTATGGTATCAAACATGTGCTCACATCTGCTTATCACCAGCAATCCCATGGCCAGGTAGAACGCATGGTAAGAACGTTCAAAACACATATGAAAAGGAATATCAAAATTGACTTAGACATTGCACTTGACAAATTTTTATTTAATTACAGAAATACGCGTAATGATACTCCAGGAGTTACACCATCTCAAATCGAGATATTAGAGTTAAATGGGACTTATTAAAACCGTTGGAGGAGAAGGAGAACAAAATAAACGTTAATTACCACGAAATAGAACCTTTAACATAGAAGATTTTGTTTGGTACAAAGTACAAGGTGATGACAAATGGTGTAAAGACAAAGAAAGTGACATGATGTTCCAAATTAAGACAGATAAAAGTATTTTGAGGAGACATTTAGATCAATTAAGAATTAGAAACTGTTTTAACACACTTATTAATTATGACTCTAAGGATTCTTTTAAGGGAAGTGTGGACAAAAATATAAAAATTACTGATAAAAATGATATAACACCGATTTCTAGACCAATGCGAATTAAACAAAAACCTGCTTATTTAAAGACTACATAACTTAAAATATAAAAATAAATTAAATATTAAAACGCATAAAGTAAATTGAATATTAAAACGCTTATACTAAAACGCAAAAAAAAATGGGAACGCTGAAAATATTATATAACAATCTTATTGATTTATCATTCATCATTTATTCTATCCAACTTGAACTATTATTTCTCATTATTCGTAACTTACTGATGTTAATAACAATTTTGAAAATTGATAATAATAACGACTGAGCATTACAAGTAAGCTATATGACAAATTCAGATCTATAAGGACAACTTACGATAAGGATAACAAGCTTACAATTTAAACAAACCAACGTCGATTTAAACAAACCAATAAGTGGGACAAGCCAACGATTACTATGACTTATGAAACTATGAAACAACTTGATGGTCAAAACGATAAACCACTTGGACAACAAACTAACTATGACAGCTTAATTAAAATTATGAGAAGGATTCTTTTAGAAGAAGGAGAATGTTGAATAATATAAATTATTATTTGTTATTCAAATCTTAGTTTTACTTTAAGATTGTATTTTCATTTTAGTTTTACTTTAAGTTAACCTTTTTATATTTATTCAAATATTATTTCTGTAAAAAATATATAAATACGTTATAAAAAAGTAAAATAAAATAGATAAAAAATAATAGTTTTGCTTTTCGTCAATTAGATTTTATTATGTATTATAGATATCTTTTTATATTTCTTATATATTTTTCAAAATTAGAAGCAATATCGTCGGTTTGTGACTTTTCACACCACTCAAGAAGGGGTAGCTTTTTATCTGAACATTTGATGATATTGATTAAAATAATCAAACTATATTTATTGAAAGACAACAATCAGTTAGATTTCATCGAATTATATGAAGTTATTTTGCAGCGCTCGAATTCTACATATCAAGTAAAGAAAAAGATTCCGCAGATGCTGAAAATCTCTTACAGGCTATTACGAAGCCAAATATCAATTCAATGTGTTTATATTTTATTAAATTATGCATATGATTTTAGCAAAATGCTAGGAAAAATTGATTATGATTTAAGGAAGTATGAATAGGGCAAAGAATATTGTTTAAATATTAACAAATATAAGAGATAATGTGGATGAAAAATTCCATAAAATATACGAGAAAGTAAAGGAGATCGCTAATATGTTTGGGATTGAAATTTTTAAACCTAGTAGACAATCCAATTGATTAAATATTGATGCATCTAGGATTGAAGATTTTCATAAAAAAAATATTTTTATTCCCCTTATTGATACATTTTTATCTCAATTAAAGTAAAAATTTATTAATCATAATTTTATTTTAAAGTGCTTTTATTTTCTCTGGTTGAGTCAGAATTGTTGATTACACTTGAAACGCCGGAGGATATTAAGGAAATCTCCGAGTTTTACTATAATGATTTATCAAGATCGTATGATTAGTTACTTTGTGATAACAAATAGCTACCTTATTGATTAGTACCTGCACTAATGTAAGGTCTTTCTTAACTTAGAAAAGGTTAAAAATCTATTTAAGAAATAGGTGAAAACCGTTTAAATGTGTTAGACCTATTAAATATTTATAAGGAGATTATTATAGATAAAAATTTGATTCTAGATGAATTAGCCAAATCTCAAAATCTCTCTTTATAAATTTAAATCATAAAATTGCTATATGATTAAAATATATTTTTAGTTATAAAATTTTTATATTGCATAACTTAATTATAATGTTCTTTTATACTGTTTTTAATAAAAGTAAAGCATTTGCAATAAGAATTATTTATATTTTAATTCATTTGTATTAATTATAATTGTTAAATTATATTTTTTTAAATACCGTACAAAAATTTCTTATATTTTATTGAATTATAATTTTTTAAAATATAATTATTTACAATAAATTTTTAATATAATTTTGAAATTTATTTTATAGTATATTATCATTAAAATAATTGCATAGTTAAATAAAGAGATGTTAATTATATTAAAGTATTTATAAATAAAAGCTATAATGAAATTCTCTAGAATTTAATTAAAATAATTATTTTTAACACTCAATAAGATAGAATGAGTGATTATAAAACACTGGATGGATTAATTTACAATTGACTAATAATTGATAAAAATTTTAGAAATGCTTTCAATCAAGGAGTTGTCATAGCAAGGTGGGTAGGCAAATTTCGCAGCCTTCTACTGCGAATTTTTTTATGGGGTAAGATTTTGAAGGGAGTTTTCCTCCAATCAATTTTCCATCATATAGGAGTGACCAACATAATATTTTATCATTCTTAACAGGTTCCTAATCTATTAATTTTTCTAAATAACAGTCAATCAATAAAGTAAATGTTCAATGGCAAAAGGATCCCAATATCTGATTAAAAAAATATCACAATTAATTATTTTTTTAATAATAAATTAATTAATCCTAACAACTGTCAAATAACTTATTTCAAATTTTATTTAAATATTTGAATTATTTTATTAAAATTGGACTATTTCTCGTCATGGTGTTGTTAAATCAACTTAATCCTAGCAGTCAAAAAAATTTCTTAGGCCCTGAGATGACTATTTTTTTCAAGATTAAGCTATCCTTTAAATTTAAATCTTTCGAGACCAATAATGAAAACTAAAATATTAAAATTATGCTTCTCTATTTCTATGTGGCTATATAAAAAATTCAAAAAATATTTTTGACTATGTAAAAATTTCCATTTTAATAACGATAATAAAGAGAAAGGGGGTTCAAATTTTACACTTTAAAAAAATATGGGAATTTATTGGGGGGGTGGGTTACTCCCTTCGCAATCCACTGCTCCTAATAATATAAATTCAATAAAATATGGACTTATGTTGTTTACATTAAATGTTTTATTTATATAAATCATATATTTCGAGTATTAATAACTTTTTATCGTTTTTTTCTTTCTATTTTACCTGTAATTTCAAATTACTATACCTGGATGAGACCAAGAATATGAGCAAAATTATATTGGAAAATTATAATGCTAAGAATATAAATATTCTATAGCCATTTAATTGGAAATAATTAAAATGGCTTATCTAAAATGTTGATTTCCCATTTTTATTTATTATAATATATTTTAAGCCATACCTATTTTTAAATATAAAACTGAATCCATTTTAAATTTAAAATTTAAATATATAATATTGTTCATCTAGAATAAAAAAGTAATTTGCTTAAGAATTCTATATAAGGTAAATTTGTAAAAAGTTATTTACTACTGTATTATTGAAAAAATAGGCATGAATGCCTCATTTTAATATTAAGTAAAATTTGATATATTTTATAAAATAAGGTAATCAAATGTAATCCTTGAGTTTTCTACATTTCATCAAAAAACAACACTTAAGTAAATAAAATCAGTTAAATAATATATATTTGCTGTATTTAAATATTATCAGTATAATGTCTTCATATTAATACTATTAAATATTATTAATGGTATAAGCATAGTAAAATATTTTATTAATTATATAATAAAATATTACATATATAACAACAATTTATATTCAACACCTTTTTTGAATAAAGTATTTTAATATCCATTCTTTTAATTGACATAAAACCCGACATTTGTAAAGGAATTATCAATACAATTTATAACGTCTATTTTTTAAATTTTTATTCGAATTTGCATAAATATATTTCGAATCAACCTATATAAAATTAACAATGGTATACAATTTACTTTGTTATATATTGTAATAAAATGCTCTTAGCGTGAATGTGTCTCTATACATATCGGCCAAGCTGGAGTGCAAATGGGAAATGCCTGTTGGGAATTATATTGTTTGGAACACAATCTCAATCCGGATGGAACTCTTAATTGCGAAAATACAAATTCTCCTTCAATCAATACATTTTTTAGAGAAACTGATGCACATCATTTTGTGCCAAGAGCAGTAATGGTTGATTTGGAGCCCACTGTTGTTGGTAAATTTAATATTTATTTATCAGAAATTCAACTAATTAATTTTTATATTACTTCAGATGAAATCAAGTCAGGGCCTTATAAAAATTTGTTTCACCCAGAAGATATGATAACGGGAAAAGAAGATGCAGCAAATAATTATGCAAGAGGCCATTACACAATTGGTAAAGAAATTATTGAAGATGTTTTGAATAGAATCAGGAAACTAGTATTAAAATTTTATTGTAAAATTAATAAATTTTTATTAGACTGAAGCCTGTCAAGGTTTGCAAGGCTTCTTAATATTTCATAGTTTTGGTGGTGGCACTGGATCAGGTTTTACGTCCTTATTAATGGAGAGATTATCTGTAGACTATGGCAAAAAATCAAAATTGGAATTTTCTGTCTACCCTGCACCTCAGGTAATTATTTATGCCATTCTTATATATTTAAATTTAATATAGATATCAACTGCTGTTGTAGAACCATATAATTCCATTCTCACAACACATACCACCTTAGAGCATAGTGATTGTTCTTTTATGGTGGATAATGAAGCTATATATGATATATGTACAAAAAAATTAGGAGTAGCCCGACCTTCATATACCAACCTGAATAGAATGGTCAGTCAAATTGTATCATCAATCACAGCTTCATTGAGATTTGAAGGTGCTTTGAATGTTGATTTGACTGAATTTCAAACCAATTTGGTCCCTTATCCAAGAATACATTTTCCATTAGTTACTTATGCACCTATAGTGTCTGTTGATAGAGCCTATCATGAGAAAGTAAATTATACACTTTAATATGCTCTATTTTTTAAAATAGTTTACTGTAAATGAGATAACTGCTGCCTGCTTTGACCCAGAGAATCAAATGGTCAAATGTGATCCTAGGCATGGTAAATACATGGCCTGTTGTATGTTGTATAGGGGTGATGTGGTCCCTAAGGATGTTAATGCAGCTATAGCTGCAATTAAAACTAAACGTTCCATACAATTTGTTGATTGGTGTCCCACAGGGTTCAAAGTTGGTATAAATTATCAAACTCCTACAGCTGTGCCAGGTTCAGAATTGGCACCTGTTCCGAGAGCTGGTAATTTATTATAACACATTTTAATGCTAAATTATTAAAATTCTATCTCATCTTATATATTCAGAAGATTTGTTGTATAAGTTTATAATATTTCTTAAAAATAAAAATTTATTATATTAAAATAGTGTGCATGTTAAGTAACACTACTGCTATTGGAGAAGCTTGGTCCCGACTTTGTCATAAATTTGACCTGATGTATGCCAAACGTGCCTTTGTACACTGGTATGTGGGTGAAGGAATGGAAGAAGGAGAATTTTCAGAAGCAAGAGAGGACCTGGCAGCTCTTGAAAAAGATTATGAGGAAGTTGGTTTAGATTCTAAAGATATTGATGCAGGGGCTAATGGCCATGATGGAGAATATTATTAGGATTGTTAGAATAAAAGGTTATTTTAAGAAAACCTTTCATTGTTAAATACTTTTATAAATTACATTTTTATTACATGTATTCAAGCATAATTACAATATATTGCCACAAACATATCTCTATAATGTAGTATAATTATTATTGAGTCAATTATGCATATGCTTGTTTTCTTTATTTTATTGTTAAATTTTTTATAGTTATTGATTAATATACATATTTTTAAACATTAAAATATAATTATTTGCATACTTGTAGAATGCAATAAATTTTTATATGTAGATTTTGATGCTTGTATCATAGTTTGGTGTGCAGATGTTTGCAACCTTTAAAAATAAAACTCATAATAAATTACTCACATTTATACAAATATATATAACCCATTTTATTTATAATATATTTTTTTTAATAAAAATTTTTTAATTGCATATTTTTTGAAATATACTTTTAATTCCAACTACCTTAAGATATTTTTTTAGTAGTGTCCTTTTTTCTGTTTATAAAAATTTGATCTTATAGAAGTAAATCAATTATATTAATTTTAAAAAAAACTAATTATGCTATAAAAAACCCTAAAAATGTCAGCAATATCTCATCAGATTTTTGAGTTATACCTTAACCTTTATTCATATCAAAACCAAATTTTTTAAAAATAATATTTCAATTATGAATCTTTATAGATACTATTATATCGATTAAAGTATAAAAACAATAATGAATTTTATTTGTAATTCTTTTGTATATATATACTTTTATATAATTATCAAATTTAACTTCTAATAGTATGCAATTTGATTAACCTCGATAATATAATATTCAAATTATAACCTTTTAAATCCCACCAAGTTAAGATTTTCTATCAATCTTTTTGTTTACCAAGTTCATCTATTTGTTTCTACTGTTTTATCATCTAACTATAATATCATTTGTTTTTATTGATTTGGGTTCAACTGGTTCTTTCCTTATTCGTAGTTGGTCTGTATGTTTTGTACGTTTTTTCCTTCTCTTTTCCAGGATTGTGATGGATTCCCCTGGTATATCTGTATTGTCCTTGACACCTGTATAAGCAGGGTTGCCAGGTAAAAATTTTCAAATTGTGGAAGAAATTTGGTATTATGCAGGAGAAATATAAAAAAAATTTCAGGCCAGGGATTTTGAATGACTTAATTATCTACCTATTATTTTATATTTAGTTTATATAAATACAAAGTCGGTAACTATTTTTCAAAATAAAATAACATCTTAATTTATTAAAATATATTAATTTATAAAAAAAACCAACGATCTTTTTTATATATAAAAGAATGTAAACAAGATAAATTTTATATAAAAAAACGATTTTAATTTTACAATTAAAAATATATTATATGCGAATGTCCCGCAAAATTACCGCAATTGGAAATCTACCGTGTGTGTATAACATAGGGATAGGCGCTTAATTATCACATATCACGTTTAAATACATAATTAGGTACTCCAAAAATAAGAAATAATACAGATGAAACTACAGTTGCGGCAATTATAATCACTTATCTTGTAGTCAACATTCACAGAGATACTTATGATCACAATGTTGGTAGAATCTTTTCCCCATAATATTTAAATATCTAATATAAATGAAAACTATACTTGTAGAACAAAAATGAGCAAGGCTATCATCAATGTTTTAGGACCTAAATCCAGGAGGTCAATTCTTGACGATTTGAAAAATGATCATACATATGCAATTACTAACAGATATTAAGGTCGTTTCAATAAAACTATTAAATTTTTCCCCTTGAATAGTGAAAAATCCAAAGACATAGCTAACCATATAATGGTAAATATAGCAGATTCGAAATTATCAATAAATTGCAGCATGTCAGTTTTCTGATCTGATAATGCCTCAGTGAATTTGGTAAAAACAGTGTATTTACAGAATTGAGTCAGCACAATGTTGGTTGCGATATGTTCCTAATACCTTAATTTTAAAATTATATAAACCTTTAAAAAAAATTTCATAAAGATTATAAAAGCTGTCCTAATATTTTGAAAATTTTTTCCAATAATGAATGGCAGAGGTATATTTAGGAATAATTTCATATGTAGGAAATCTACTACATTCTGTTAATGTGTAGTTGCAATCAGAAGAATCTTAACAAAGATTCACAAAATTATGCTGCAGATGTGTTCATCTTTACAGTTAAAAATTGACAATAATTTTATGGCGCCATTGCTAAAACTTAATTATATTTTATTTGAGATTAAATAATAGAACTAAATGTTTACCGTCTTTATTGAGATATTTATAAAATTCCTGGCATGACATATATATTTGTTTAACCATTAGCTCGGCCTCTAATGTTGTTAAAGCAATCCGATTTCTCTCCCTTTTCCAGGCAGTCCTCATCAGGCTAAAAATGCGCTCGGATGAGGCATTAGAATGAGTTAAGGAGAAGACATACTCGCATATTTTTTCCATGCATGGGGATTTACCATTATAACGAAAAAATTCTACCCATTTCTCCTCTGCTTTTAGACCATCTAACTTTAAGTATTTTGGCGAATCATAAAAAATAGAGAGAATTACAATCTCCTCAAACAAGAAATCAATGTCTTTCGGTATTTTTAATATATTTATTAAATTATAAAAACGATCAATTGATGGTTTCTGTTCCAAGGTCATAATATTTATACATTTGTAAATAGAGTTATTAAAATTAAATTTTGATTGTAAATATTCTAAAATTGTCTTAATAAAAATATCTGCTTCATTTAAAAATGTATTAATTAGAGTATTATTTGAACATTTTAATATAATATTTTCAGAGCGCCATAAAATTTATTATCAATTTTTAACTGTAGAGATGAACAGAGTTGTAGCATGATTTTGTGAATCTTTTTTATAAAGAATATTCTGATTGCAACTGAATATTAACTGCATGAAGTAGATTTCCTATATGTGAAACGAATCCCAAATATGCTTCTGCCATTTCATACTCGAAAAATTTTTTTCAATATTTTAGGACAGCTTTTAAAATCTTTATTTAAGAAGTATTTTTTTAAGGGTTTGTAAAATTTTAAAAACTCTTTTAATTCATTAACTTCTTTAGTTGATGACAAAATTCGTTAAAACATTTCATCACCATTATTTCGACATCCACACATTTATTGCCTTCTTGCAAGAATTATGTAGTATATGCCATATACAGCCAATTGGTATTAATTCATTATTATGCAGCCTCAATTCGGTAACTTTGGTTTTTGCCAAAATTTACAGAGACATTATCAGCGCAGAAAGCTGACATGCAAATCATTGATAACCATGAATCAGCTATATTCAGCGTCTACATGGCAGAAAATTTGCTGGAGGCAAACCCACTCTAAAATCTACCCATACCACCTAAAAAACCGGGGCCTTCGGCGGCGAAATTTACAATGTTATTGATTTTATTTAAAAAATCTTATAATAAGCTACCATTTATAACCTTACAACATAATTCTATTTACAATCTTTCAAGCCTATTTAGGGAATAAAAATTTTAAAAATTTGTAGGTGATAATCAACTTATATTTAAATAATGCTATCTTTCCATAATTAGGTTGATATTCTCTTATTTTCATAATATATATATAAATGAATTAAATGAGATAACATAATAATATTTCTATAAAAAGATCTAAAATATTGTAAAAAATATAAGACGAATAATTTTAAAGAGGTATATTTAGCTTGATTCTTTTAATTAATTAAAAACATGAATTGTAAATAGAGTTATTATATAAAATATTAGAATAAAATGAATTATAGTATATTTTGCATTGAAATTATAAAATGTTAAATTAAATTTACATTTTTTAAAAGCGTATATATTCGCTGTGAAGAAGATACATTACTTATTTTATTAATAATCTGGATAACCTTATAGATGTTAATGCAAATTGTGTTATAATATCATCAATTGTAAATTTTTCAAAAATATCAATTTCGCTGGATATTAACAGTAATTTCTAAAAATGGGTCCGAAATTTTATCCCGCATTCGAGTTTTGTTAATTTTTACTTTACTCATGGCTCTTTCAGCTGAACAGGAAGTTGTAGGAAGGGTTAATAAATATTTATATAATAAATTTAAATTAGAATAAGAATTTAATTGATTTAAAAGTCGGTATGGAAATATAAAAGAATATTTTATCTATTTTTTTATTTTGGTCATGATTTCGCTATTGAAATTTTCTTCGGTAGTTTGATCTTTTCCAATACCTTTAATTATATACAATTACAAATAAAATATCAATAAATTACTTTCATCAATATATAACGCGTCATTCTTTTTAACCAAAAGATCTTCGCAAAAAATGATTGATTGAGACTCCAAATATAAAGAGCGAAAATCATTATATATTCATCAACAATGTTTTGGACATCCAATTGATAAGTATGACAAATTTCGAATATTTGCTCTCCTTCTATTTTTTCATTATCCATAATCCCAGCGGGAGTAAAAATGGATATTGGTGATAAAAAATTTAAACAATCATAATTAAATCGATCATTTAGGTGGTTAATTATTGCATTTAGCACAGGGAAAAATATTTCCGTTTTATATCTATAACAATAAATAATAATTTAAAATTTTTAAATTTATTCAACTTGTTTTTTTTTGTTCAACATAATTATTGAATTCTGTTTAATCCAATTTGAATATTGATTTCATATTATACAAATCAGTTATTACATTATTCTTCTTCAAAAAACTAGTAGATAAGGAGTGTAATCTTTAAAAAATATTGTCTCCATTAGCTATATTTTAAAATAATTTATAGAAATAGTAACTAATATTAACCTTTTAGTTTTTGTAATTTATTCTTTATATGTTGAATTAATTTGGTTACCATAGCCAAATCATTACCAACTGCCTGCATTTCAATTCAAGCCTCATGTGTACATTTCAATATTTCTTTCAAAATAAATAGACTTAATATAAAATTTTCATCCTTAACTCTGGATAATAATCCATCGGCAATGGAAGAGGTGCTTAGATCATTAGAATCTTTTAATTCAACTAATGATGTTAAAATATGTTCAAAAACATCTAAAAAGATTTCTACAGATTTGTAGGATGATGACCAATTTCTGAAAATATATAAGCTTCATTAAAAATATTTTATTTACCTTATTGTGTTTTTAATTCTTTTAAGAGATTTCTTGGACTTTCTCATTTGATATTTAACAAACACACCTTGACGTCTAACTCCATTCATAAAATTATATAACTCATCTAATATTCCCATTGCCTTTTTCATTTCAATTTTGCATCCACAAACATGAGCAACTACTAAATTTGCCTATGTGCATGGCACCAAATATAGATGGCTTTTGGAGCCTCTTTCAATATTAAAGCCTGCATTCCCTTGTATACTCTTCTCACATTCCCTGCACCATCCATACTTTGTCCAACCAAATAATCAAGAGGAAGACCAAGATCATTAAACTTACAAAAAATATGTTTCCTTATATTTTCCCCACTGGTTTCTGATGTTGTAAAAACATGTATGATCCTTTCTACAGGATATGGATGCAGATCATCTTCTATATACCGTACAAGCAAAACTATGCATTCTTTTTTAGACACATCATATGTTCCATCTAATATGATGCTATAGGCACGATTCTCTTTAATTTTTTGAATAATGCTTTTCGTTATTTTTATCCTATAATTTCAGTTATTTTTTTCACGTGGATATATGACAGCAAATTTATATAAGGTCTCGAAATTTTATCTGATTTTTTTCTCCGCAATTTTTCGTTGCTATCTATGTATGCACGTAAAGTTGGAACCGTTTTTGCCATTAATTTTGTGAGACACATAAAATTACCTTCATTCGAATTAGAACCCCAAAAGGCTATATTACATTTTATAAGGTACATAATGGCATCGATAATATTATGAACTATATTACGATTTTCCATGATTATATCAAGCTTATTTGATAGCAAATGATCTTGAATGCGCTTATTTGCAAGCCAAGTCATGTTTGCATATTCACAATCTTTATGAAGAGAAGATGCTTCGTGTCTCTCTAAGTCACGCTTAATGTTTTTCCAATTATTTACTCCAAGTTGAGTCCAAAAAGTATTGGACTTAGTGCCACCAAACATAATACAATATAGACAAAAGACTTTGTCTAAAGTAGTGCTATAAGATAGCCAATTTCTGGGGTTGAGGGAACCATCTATATTAACCTTTCTATAATAGGTTATATTCATGCTCCTGTTTAAAAAGTAAAAAAAAAATACTGGTATAGAAATAATGGATGGGTAAAAATTAATGAAAATCATATATTATTTAAAACCTCTTGTGAGTAACAGGATATTGAAATTTATTTGTACATGGCTGACATGGGCCTACAGCAATTTTAAATAAATTTTATTTAGGAAGTAAGCGCCTCACTGTAACTGAGGATTGGATGAGGAGATAGTACAATTTGTGAATCTTCAATAATGGAGATTTGCTATAAATAAAGAGTATAATTTGTTTACTTATGAAAAACTATATTTTAATAAAATTTTATTCAAATGGTCATTTTATTCTTAGCTATATTATAATTAAGTTTTTAATAAATCTTGGAAATATGAATAACCTCATAATCATAATTTATTTCCTTCAAAAGTTATCATATAATTCGTATTTAAATTAAATACCTCATCATGCAAAGTAAGGGCCTCACTGGAACTGGGGATTGGATGAGGAGATAATACAATTTTTGAATCTTCAATAACTGAGATTTTCTATAAATAAAGAGGAGTTATAATTTGCTTCCTTATGAAAAACTAAATTTTTAATAAAATTTTAGCCAAATGGCAATTTTTTTCTTAACAACATTATAATTAAGTTTATAATATATGTTTTAATTCTACAAGAATACATGATTGAGAAAATTGGCATTAAAAATATTATCAAGTCCAACATAAAGTTATCAGGTTACAATGGCAAGACGATACAAGTGATAGGTGCAGCTAGTGTTGTTAAACGGCTCGTTTTGAGCCGATTTTGAAAAACTGCTAACTCAATATTTCATCCAGAATAGTATTACGCAAGCCTGAAGATTTTGTTTATAGAAGGAACAAAGGTTTGGACATCTATTAGCGAGATCTCACGGCTTAGGCAATATTTTTCTGACTAAAATATTGAGTAAGCCGTTTTTAAAAATCGGCTCAAAACGAGCCGTTTAACAACACTAGGTGCAGCACAAGTGAATGTAGAATAAAAAGGGATTTCACAAATTTTGAACGCGTTAAAAACATTAATAAAATGTCTTTGTTAGGAAGATCATGTTAAAACATTTTGAAAATATACTTGAAAGATTCATAGGCATAATAGAGCAGACTAATATAAAACTGCGATCACATGAAGAAATCATAAAAGATATTATAATGACAGTAAAAACAATAGTAATCTTATAAATAAAAATTAGTATAAATAAAATTGTGAAATTCATGATGAAAGTATATTATCTAAAGAAATTCTAATAGCTAAATAAACAATGATAATAATATAAACAATATAACACATAATGTAAATAAAGAGGATGAAATTCACACAGATAACATTTTGAAAATAGTTGAATCCAATTCATATTTTAAGGATAAAATTTATATTAAAAAAAAGTAAAAGAACTTTGAAATCTTAATACAATTAAAGATGAAAAGATTTAAATTTAAAAATTCTTAGAAATTAGCATTACCTTACTTTTATTATTTTACTACATTATATTAACTTACTAAGTTTTTCTAATACTTTGGTTTTAAATTATTATTATTAATTAACCTATTAAACATATTGTTAAATTGAACTTTATAAAGTAAATATAGATATAAAAATAGTGTGATAAAGTTAAAAAAAATATTTAATAATAAAATATATAATTTATTTTCTCTATACCCTGCCTACTTTAATTTTATTTTAATATATTGGTAAAATTTTAAATAAAAAATGAGTTTCTATTAATTCACAAATTTAAGGTATATTTTCAATAATATTTATTGTCTTTAGTTACAATAATAAATTAAAAATATTACTTATAAATTTATTAAAAAACATAATATAAATATATTAACCTCTAAGAAAAGTACCAAATAGGAAATGTGAAAATTAACTTGATAAAATGGTAAATGAAAATGGTTCACAAATAAAGTATATATTATTTATTAATTGAAAAATATCTTTACTTTAATTGGCATTTGTCAGAAAATTAACGATAACCATCATAATCGTATCAATTAATGGATTTAAAAAGATTATAATTCAAATCAAAAATTACCCCCCCCCCCCCCCAAAAAAAAAATCAATACCTACCCCCAAAAATGCCAATATATTTTGGAGGCATTTGTCTCCTACCCTCCCCGGCCATGTAGACGCTGGCTATATTTACCATTATGTGGCTAGCTACATCGTTGGATTTTTCACTATCTGAGGAAAATTTTTTAACAGTTTTATTGAAATGTTCTTATTCTTGTTGAAATAGCGAAGGATCGAGGGAAATGTTTTAATATTTCCCTTATTAGTTGCATCTGTTAGAATTGCATATGGATGCCCATCTTTCAAATTGTCTAGAATTGACCTCTAGGATTCAGGTACTAAAACACTTGTGATAGCCTTGCTCATTTTTGTTCTGCCACAAGTAAGGTTTGCACTTATATTGGAGTCGTTAAATATCATGAGAAAAAGATTTGACCTACATTGTGATGATATAGCTCCGTGAATGTTGAACTACATGATAGATGTATACGATTTCCGCAAATGTAGTTGCATCTGTATTATTTATTAGAGAATATTATTGTATTGCAATCGATTCCCCTGTACTGACTTACATGAATGAAATGATGTTGATTTATTATTGGATAAAATAAAACAGGATAGAAAGAAATTAACAAACTAGACATGTTTTTCGAATAAATATTTGAAATTATTTTAAAAATATAAAAATAATCAATTAATGTTTCTCAAAATTATTATTTATATATTAAAATGTTAACATGGCAACCCTGGGTATAAGGCATGCATTGTTTTTGACATCCATCATTTTCTATTTCATCTATTCTTGTTCTTAAAGCTTGTACATGGTGCTTGATTTTGTATATTTGTACCATTTATTAATATTTTTACTCTTCTTAAAATTGGATCTTTTGCGGTTTCAACTCTAAGTTCTTATCTAGATAGAGTTAATGTGTCATAAGTAAGATTTCTTATATAATTCACTGTTTTATTTTCGCTTGTTATTCTATCATTATTTTTCTCTATTTGTTTCGCGAGAAAGCATCTGCAATTATATTATTAGCGCCATTCTTGTACATGATATCGTTATCATATTTCATGTTTTCATTATTATATTTGCTGATCCTATTTACTTTTACATAATTCTATAATCCAAGGAAATCCAAATATGCATCATTTGTTTTTATAAATAATAACGGAAGCTATTTTATTTTATCATCTAATTGCACTTTTACATAAGCTTCGCCCATAATTTTTATTTTATTATTTCCACATGTAGTTGGAGCTCTAGCCATTCTAAGTTTTGGCTTCCCAATTTTATTCCATATTGTATTAATGATGGTTACTGCTGAACCTGTATAATATTCGATTTTAATTTCGTGATTATTTATTAATACCGAAATTGTTGGGTGCTGTCCATATTTGTATACTTTTCTTATTGAGAAATCTGAATCGTCATTATTATTGTAATTTGTACCTTAAATTTTTCATCTAGTTTTACAACACACGGCAAAGTGGTTTGGTTTCTTACATTTGTTGCACGTTTTTCCATATGCTGGACAATTTCGAATTGCATGAAAACGATTACAAAGATAGCAAGGGTTTCTTGTATTATTATTATTTGTGTGGTAGTTATTATAACCATTATCATTTTGATATTGCCTATTATCATTATACTGCCGATTATTATTATCATTTTGATTTAATCGTTCATTATTAACATTATATCTGGTCGTTTCTTTGATTTTATAAACCATTTTAGTTGTATTATTTATTTCTAAGTCGGATCGTTAAAGCCATTTCTATAACTTTGTTTAAGCTTAACCGTTGGTCTTCGTCTTTAATGTCTGGGTATCGTAAACGTAGTTCTTTATCTAGTTGTGACATCTTTAGTCCAGCGATTAATTGATCGCGAATTCTTAGTTTTATATTATCTCAAATTCGTATTTTCGGACTAGCTCCTTTATAGTCTTTAAATAACTCAAAACGGATTCTGTAGGTCCGCGACTTAATATAATAAAATCAATTATAGATGTCAGAACAGTTCTTTCATCTTTATAAAGTTGTTTTGCAATTTTGTATATATCTGCCCAATCACCAATTTTTCTTGGAAAGAGTAATTTTTTTTATATCAGTTATAATATTTATTTCTCCATAAGATATAAATAATTTTTCAAAGTGACGTCAGTTTGAGGAATATTTTTAACATTCATTATGTATTTTATGTAGTATAGTCGTCAATAGATCATTCATCATTTTTTTTTTGAATTTCTGTAATAATTTTATCCATAATTTCTAAACAAATCTATTTTTTTTTTTATAAATAGAATTTTTTTATAATACTATATAACATTTAACTTGACCGAAGAACCGCGCGACTTTTTTTACCTCGTCGCCAAATATTATATCGATTAAAGTTTAAAAATAATAATGAATTTTATTTGTAATTCTTTTGTTTATATATACTTTTATATAATTCACTTCGATAATATAATATTGAATGTAGGAAAGTTATAATATTGTATTACAAAAATAATATTCAAATTATAACCTTTTAAATTATATAAGATATTAAGATATAACAGATACATATTTTATAAATCTTATCTTCAGTCTCATTGTAGTATGAGAGTGGCTAATTGAGGTATAAAAGATTCTCTCTGGTTTATGTTTATAATAAAATTTCCATCTCCTTTATGGGATGCAAAAGTCACAAATGAATGCTACTAAGGACATCCAATTGTAAAAAAACCATTTCAAAATCCTTAATGATTACAAAATTGTGCTCCACTTTAATTTTTCTAGAATATTGAAATTAGCAATTTTATTTGTATTAATATAATTTAGTATTCTATTTTTAAAATTTCAAAATGAAGTAAAAAATTTATTGAGCAGATCAAAAATGCCACCTACTATGGATAATTGAAATAGGATTTGCCTAACTATGATCGTAAAGTTATTTGATTGTAAATTTGGTCAATTATTTTTCTGATTGGTCTATTTAATCGCAGTAAATTAAAATCATTTAAAACACTATGGTTAATAGTGTAGCTTATAATATGAGACTATTTGTTAAAAGAAGAAATGAATCATTGTAAAGTATGATATATTATATTAAATTAAAAAAAATTTTTTTTTTGGACAACCCATTCCTAATAAAGGTAAGGATATACTTTACTATAACCTATTTCAATATCCCATACATAGAATATTAACGCTGCATGAAGGAGATATTGTAAAGGCAGAGGTAAATTAGTAGGTAGTGTATTTGAAGTGACACAAAATCATCTAACAGCTGTAGGTATATTTAATACTAAACTTATCTAGATTACTTACATTAATTTAGGTAAAGATTCTCAATGTACATCTTGTACAGATCAGAATACTAACATACCCAGTAACTCATCTAGTAATCAATAAGTAACTAATAAAATAATTATTTTTGAATAAACAAGCTAATACAACCAAACAAATATACAACCGCAACAGATACAACCCCAAAATACAACCAATTACCAGATATAACTTTTATCCTTCAATTTCAAGTAACAAAAATAATTGTATAAATTAATAAGACATTAATAATATAGAAATCTTATTAGAATTACATAATTCCAACAGTGAAAATTCAAGTAAATATTACTTTTATATAATTTGATTATAAATAATTTATATTTTGACACTTTGATTTTTAGATATACAATATATTCCAACAGGGAATTTGTGCCTATATCATGATGGATATTTATCATAAAAGATTATATAAAAAATGATACCACATATCGTCAACGTCTATTTTTGCGACTGCAAATATAAAAAAATTGATAATTAGATGTACTGGCATATATCAACATGAATATGATGTGGAGGAGTTCTCAAGTCTTGAGAGACACGAAATTCTCTTAAGGAAGCTATGGAATTAAATACACTGGAATCTAAGAAAAAGATATACAATATGGTCCTTGGTGATAAATTACAAAAAGTGCCTAATATCAATAGATATCCTGATGCACCAACTTATCAAACAGTCCAAAAATCAATGGATCCTAATCTACCTAAAACATCCATGGATTTTATATTACCTATTGATTTCACATTATGTGAAAGGCAACCATTACTTTTAGGGAACCATAATAATTAAATCTTTTTTTTTTCAACATCTGAATTTATTAAGATCATGACTGAATCAGATACAGTGTACATGGATGGCACTTTTTTTATAGCACCAAATATTTACCGGCAGCTTTATTCAGTCATGTTCATGGTTGCTATGTCTCCCCCCATTAGCGGGAGATTCTCGCAATTTTTTAGTTTACACGCAGACATATCTCTCCCGCAAAACTACCGCAATTGGAAATCTCCCGCAAAAATCTACCGCAATTTTTTAATTTCTCCCGCAATTTTTTTTAAAAGTATTTTAACATTTTTAATGTATAAATAATAATTTTGAGATACATTAATTGATTATTTTTATATTTTTAAAATAATTTTAAATATTTATTCGAAAAACATGTCTAGTTTGTAAAATTTCTTTCTATCCTGTTTTATTTTTATCCAATAATAAATCAACATCATTTATTCTAAGTCAGTACAGGGGAGTATATCAACATCGATTGCAATACAAAAATATTCTCAAACAATAAATAATACAGATGCAACTACATTTGCGGAAATTGTATACATCTAGCATGTAGTTCAACATTCACAGAGCTATATCATCACAATGTGGGTTGAATCTTTTTCTCATGATATTTACCGACTCCAATATAAGTGCAAACCCTACTTGTGGCAGAACAAAAATGAGCAAGGCTATCACATGTGTTTTAGTACCTCCTAGAGGTCCAATTCTAGACGATTTGAAAGATGGGCACCCATATGCAATTCTAACAGAATCAACTAATAAGGGAAATATTAAAGCATTTCCCTCGATCTATCGCTATTTCAACAAGAATAAGAACATTTCAATAAAACTGTAAAATTTTTTCCTCGGATAGTGAAAAATTCAACGATGTAGCTAGCCACATAATGGTAAATATAGCTGATTTAGGGTTATCAAAGATTTGCATGTCAGCTTTCTGCGCTGATAATGCCTCTGTAAATTTTGGCAAAAACCAAAGTTACCGAATTGAGGTAGCACAATAATGAATTAATACCAATTGGCTGTATATGCCATATACTACATAATTCATGCAAGAAGGCAATAAATGTACTATCTGTGGATGTCGAAATAATTGTGATGAAATGTTTTAACGAATTTAGTCATCAACAAAAAGATTTAATGAATTAAAAGAGTTGGTGAAGTGGTCTGACTTGGAATGGTGTGAGTTGTTGCGATATATACCTATTAGGTGGTTGTCATCAATACCTGCCATCGATAGAATTTTAAAATTTTACAAACCCTTAAAAAAATACTTCTTAAATAAAGATTTTAAAAGCTGCACTAAAATTTTGAAAAATTTTTTAGAGTATGAAATGGCAGAAGCATATTTGGGATTCGTTTCACATGTAGGAAATCTACTTCATGCAGTTAATATTCAATTGCAATCAGAATATTCTTCATAAAAAATATTCAGAAAATCGTGCTACAGCTCTGTTCATCTCTACAGTTAAAAATTGATAATAAATTTTATGGCGCTCTGAAAATATTATATTAAAATGTTCAAATAATACTCTAATTAATACATTTTTAAATGAAGCAGATATTTTTATTAAGACAATTTTAGAATATTTACAATCAAAATTTAATTTTAATAACTCTATTTACAAATGTATAAATATTATGACCTTGGAACAGAAACCATCAATTGATGGTTTTTATAATTTAATAATTATATTAAAAATATATAAAGATATTGATTTCTTGTTTGAGGAGATTGTAATTCTCTCTATTTTTTATGATTCGCCAAAATACTTAAAGTTAGATGGTCTAAAAGCAGAGGAGAAATGGGTAGAATTTTTTCGTTATAACGATAAATCCCCATGCTTGGGAAAAATATGCGAGTATGTCTTCTCCTTACCTCATTCTAATGCCTCATCCGAGAGAATTTTTAGCCTGATAAGGACTACAGGGAAAAAGGAGAGTAATCGGATTGCTTAAACAATATTAGAGGCCGAGCTAATAGTTACACAAATATATAATATGCCATTTCAGGAATTTTATAAATATCTCAATAACGACGGTAAACATTTAGCTCTATTATTTAAATCTCAAATAAAATATAATTAAGTTTTAGCAATGGCGCCATATTATTTATTGTCAATTTTTAACTGTAAAGATGAACACATCTGCAGCATAATTTTGTAATCTTTGTTAAGATTCTTCTGATTGCAACTACACATTAACAGCATGTAGTAGATTTCCTACATGTGAAATCATTCCTAAATATACCTCTGCCATTCATTATTGAAAAAAAAATTCAAAATATTAAGACAGCTTTTATAATCTTTACTTATGAAATATTTTTTTAAAGGTTTATAAAATTTTAAAATTCTATCGATAGCGGGTATTAGGAACATATTGCAACCAACATTGTGTTGACTCAATTCTGTAAATACACTCTGTTTTTACCAAATTCACTGAGGCATTTTCAGATCAGAAAGCTGACATGCAATTTATTGATAATCTCGAATCTGCTATATTTACCATTATATGGTTAGCTATGTCTTTGGATTTTTCACTATTTGAGGAGAAAATATTTAATAGTTTTATAGAAACGACCTTAATTTTGATGAAATAGCTGAGCTTATTAGATGCATCTGTTAAAATTGCATATGTATGCCCATTTTTTAAATCGTAAAAAATAACCTCCTGGATTTAGGTCCTAAAACATTGATGATAGCCTTGCTCATTTTTGTTCTACAAGTATAGTTTTCATTTATATTAGAGT